CCTTTCTTCCAAGATGTCCTTGGGCAGACTTGAATTGCTTGCCTTTCTTTCAGCAGTCCAGTGCTTAGACTCCTCTTCAGCAAATTACTAATTACTCAAACCAATGACAACCTTAGCTAGTGTCACCTAATTGTCATTTTAGCTCCTCCCTTTCCACTCAATCATCAGCTAATCATTATCTTTATATCCTGAATATGTTTTGCATCTATCTACTTCTCTTCATACCCATTGCCTTTACTCTAGTTCTATCCCCTACCTCTCTCCTTTATGCTACACCAGGCACTTTCATCTGCTTCCTGTCATATCTTATTCCCATCCATTCTCTTGGCAGGTGTGAGTTTCCGAGTCACAGACTCAAAGATGCTAAATGGAAAGTCTTTATTTTTTTATAACTTAATTTTAATTTCTGTCCCTGGGTCTGGATCCTCCCTAGTGTAAAAATCCAATTTATCACTCTCAGGTGAAGTCAGTCCAATTCAGCAATCTCTCAGGTTATTCCAGACTCTCAAAGTTCTTCCTCTCACCCTACTTTCCTATATGGAAACAACATGGCACTAATAAAGGGCAAAGGTAAAGTGTGCAGAGTAGAGTTGCCAGACTTAAATCAAAACACACAAAATCTAGTTAAATTTCAATTTTAGATAAATAAATACCATTTCAGTATATAAGTATGTGCCATGCAATATTAGGGATATAGTTATATTTTAAAAATTATTCATTGCTTATCATAAATCCAAATTTACCTCAACAATTACATTTTACCTGGCAACCATGAAGGTAAGAATTTGTCACCATATGGTTTCAGATAGACATCTAGGACCTTGTGATGAGCTCTGAATTTGCCTATCCAGTTTCTATTCCCTTCTTATTCTTTGCCAGAATAATTCTAATTTTGTTTGGGGGGCAGCAGTGTACCCAAGAACAAGAGAAATATTTATTTTTCCATACTCTGTTGCAACAAGGAATGGCCACGTGACACAGTTCTGGTTAATGAGACAAAAGTGGAAAACTAGTAGTTTCAAGAATGATTTTGTTTTCCCACATAAAACAGAAAGATGCAGCTGGTGCCTCCACCCTTTTACCTTCCTTTTGATTAAATGTGTATATGATGTCTGGAGCTATGTTGTTGTTGTTGTTAGGTGCCATCGAGTTGTTCCTGACTCATAATGACCCCATGCACAGCACAACGAAACACTGCCTGATCCTGCACCAGCCCCATGATCCTTGATATACTTTAGCCCATTGTCACAGCCACTGTGTCAATCCATCTCATTGAAGGCCTTCCCCTCTTTCATTGACCCTCTACCTTACCAAGCATGACATCCTTCTCCAGGGAATGGTCCCTTCTGACAACATGACCAAAGTAGGTAAGATGAAGTCTGGCCATTCTCGCTTCCAAGGAGCATCTTGGCTGCACTTCCTCCAGGACAGATCTGTTAGTTCTTTTAGCAGTCCATGGTACTTTCAGCATTCTTTGCCAGCACAACAACTCAAAAGCATCAACTCTTTTTTCGTCTTCCTTATTCATTGTCCAGCTCTCACACGCAGACAAGGTGACTGGAAATACCATGGCTTGTGTCAGGTTCACCTTAGTCCTCAAGAAGACATCCTTGCTCCTCAGCACTTGAAAGAGTTCCTTCACAGCTGACCTGCCCAGTGCTACACATCATCTAATGTCCTGACTGCTGCTTCCATTGGCATCAATTGTAGACCCAAGCAAAGTGAATTCTTTGACAACCTCAAGCTTTTCTGCAGCTATAGCAACCTTCTAGTGACAAGCAGCAGACAAGTAGGAGGGAAATGTCAAAATAGTCATAGAGAATCAGGTCTTGAATTTGCCAGGCCACTGAGCCAAGGCCAGCAGCACCTACCTTTGAACATCTTGGGCTGTGAGAAATTGTTGTTGTTGTGGTGGTGGTTGTAGTTGTTAGCTACCATAAAGTCAGACCCTGACTCATAGCACCCTGTGCACAATGAGATCAGACCATTATGACCCATAGGGTTTTCACTGGCTCGTTTTCAGAAACAGCCAGATCTTTCTCCCTAGTCCATCATAGTCTGGAAGCTCCACTGAAACCTATTCAGCATCACAACACACAAGCCTTCCCTGACAGATGGGAGGTGGCTGCACTTGACCTGCATTGGCCAGGAATTGAACCTGGGGCTCCCACGCAGAAAGCAAGAATTCTACCACTGAATCACTTTACCACTGTGATGATTTTTAAAGCCAATTTTAAAAGGCACTGGGAGGCACGATTGCTCTTATGCTGAATGTATCCCTAACCTACTTGATCCCTCCTTTCCTAGAAACATGCAGACCCCATTCTCTCAATAGTTCCACTGTGTTGCTTATTTTCAGAGTAATAGCTATATCTTCCTTCAGTTCCATGCAAAAGCCTTTAGCATATATCCCCTTGCTGTAGTAAGGTGATGTTGTGGCAGCATATCACTCCTCGCTTTACATTAATGTTTGTGTCACACTCAGAGCCCACTGAAAGATTATTACCCTCCTTCCATACCGTACAGGGGCTGTGGAAAATTATAAGGTCTGGTTCTGTCTGCTACTGCCTAGAAATCCTACACAGTGCTTTCTGCTGCCTGTACCTACCCATATGTAATGGGAGGAAAGAAGAAGGATCTTGGTATTCCTGTAGACTTTAAGAATCCCAGATGCGAAGCAGGATGCAACTGGTGTCTACTCTTAAATCCCACTGGATTTCTTAGGATGTGCCCTCCAGGATTTGAGTGAAGTGAGGGGAGAGAGGGCTTGGCCCTTCATAGCATCTCACTGCCTGTTCTCCTCATTCCCTTCCTTTATCCCCATTGGTGGGCAGGTACAACCAAACAAAACATATTATTCCTCTTCCCTTTCTCATTTCAAATATTTTTGGTCTCATATGGTACATTTTGACTTAGGAATGTGGTTAAATCTCTATGGACTAGTCCTACAGCAATAGGTATCCTTCATCTGGGACTAGATTTGGGAGTTACTCAAACTCTTCAATGGCTCTGTACTACCCCTAACTATGTCCAGTGCTTTGAGGTCTCTTTATAATCTGGCCTCTGCCTTTTTCTCTAACTTCTTGTATCACCACTCCCCACCTCACCACTCTCTGTGTGGTTTGTTCTGTAGTTTATATGATGCACTGAAGACAAATTCTTGGGAGATGAAGCTTAGTTTTTTTTTTTTTTTTTTTAAACTCTGTAGATGAATTTAATGCACACTCAGGAGTTGAGAATCAGTTGTGCAGAGCATCACATGTCTCAGTATTATCACATGCATAATTTCATTTTGTTCTTAGAAGAATCCTATGTGGTAGGTAGAACATATATTGATATATGAAGTTTTACAGATGACAGGACTAAGATTCAGGGAGGTTAGGTAAAACTGGGTTAAATCCAGGTGTTCAGATTAAGTCCAATGCTGTTTCCACTCTACATTGAAATTTTTGTCACTAGTAGCATCATATCTTCTAATTTATCAGAATATTTAATTATTTTCTATTTTTTATTATCGCATAATTAGAATAAAGCTATATGGTTTGGCATTTGATTACTTTTAGTGAAATAATAGCTACCAAGTAGCTATTATCCTATTGTTAATTGCTGTTGAGTTGATTTCAACTCATGGTGACCCCATGTGTGCAAAGTGGGATTACTTCATAGCATGTTCAAGGCTTTGATTTTTGGGAAGCATATTTCTTGGCCTATCTTTTGAGGCATCTCTGGGTGAGTTTGAACCACCAACCTTTCAGCTAGTAGTTAATCATTTAACTGGTTGTGCCAGTAGAAGTAATGTAGCACAGTGGTTAAGCACTCATTTGCTAAATAAAAAATCAGTGGTTTGAGCCAGATTTACAGTCTTGGAAACCCTATGGGGTAGTTCTACTCTGTCCTATAGGTTTACAATGAGTCAGAATTCAACTTGACAGAAATAGGTTTGGTTTTTTGGGGGATGATCCCATAACCCTGCTTATTTCTTTTATAGTAATTTTATCACCTGAAATTATTTATTATTTGCTTACTTATGTGTTGGTTGTGTTTCCCATTAGAATGCAAACTTCACAAGGGCATTAAACCTCTTTGCTACAGAATAGTGCCTGGCATTTAGGAAACTCAATAGCTATTTGTTGAGTGAATAATTAGATGTACATTTAACACATTACCTCCTTTTATATGGTTTATTATTGAACTTACAAGTGAAGTACTCTTAAAAAAATTATTAATGCAATCTTAATTGGAAATAAAAATTTAATAGCTTTCAATAAATATTTTCTGCATGCATGAATGAATGAATAAATCTCCATAGCAAACAGTGAAACTACTTAATATAGTGACTACATCGTTTTGATATTAAATAACAGTAACAACAACAACAACAAAAATAAATCCAAGCCCACTGCCATACTGTCATCAAGTGGATTCCAACTCATTGCAATCCTACAGGACAGAGTAGAACTGCTCCTTAGGGTTTCCAAGGCTGCAAATCTTTACAGAAGCAGACAGCCCCATCTTTCTCCTGCAGAGTGGCTACTGGGTTTGAACCACTAACCTTCTGGTTAACAGTCAAATGCTTTAACTAAGCCATGAGAGCACCTTTTGGTACTAAGTAGAATGTTTAATTTTTCCTTGGCATTTTGGCGTGTGTGTGTGTGTGTGTGTGTGGTGAAAGGGCTGATGCATCAAGTATTTTCTGATGTTGTCAGTCAACTAGCTAATTTGTCTTTGTCAACAGGAGCTCAGCTCTGGAACTGATATTTTTATAATGTAATTTCATTAAAATTACTGTATTTAGATAGCTCCTGGCATCTCTCATTAAACTGAAGTTGTTCAATTGTAAGTGTGTTAAGAAGCACAGATCTTTTGATAGCTTTCAGTTCTTTCACTGAGATTAAAAAAAAAAAAAGATGTGATTCAAGCTTTAATTATTAGAGGATTAAAACACTGTGCAGATTTGAAGGATTGAAATAAAACTTTTCTATTCTGATTCTTATTCCCAGTTACAGGAACTCGTACAAGAAGAACATCTGTGTGGACATGCTGCGTGAGGGTTATCATAAGTCCTTCACTGAGCTCTTTGCTCTGATGGAGAGGTGGGATGTCTTGAGGGAGGTTGCAAAAGTCAGGTCCGTCTTCTGGTTGCAAAAACCCCTGGAAGAGCAGCCTGATAAGCTGGATCACTTCTACCACTACCTGACCAGGGCTGAGAATGCTGAAAGGAAAGGTAAGCTAGAGGGGTCGTGGGCAGCAGCAGCGGGAGCTGGCATTGGGAATGCCTGAGGGAAGATTCTAGATTGTTTCATGTATGAATTTGAAACATTAAGGCAATTTAGCATAATTCAGCCTAAGCCCATTTACGGAATAAATGATAGGGAATCCTGAATCATGGGACTGCCCATACACAGAGGGATCCTGGAGATGTCATTCTATTCCAGGGGAGACCTAATAAGTTTCCAGAACTTTTCAATGTACATTAAAGTCTTTTGTGTCCTTAATTATAAATTTGGCCAGATTTTCTTTCTATGTAATCTGAATATTGACTTTAACTGAATTTAAACTTTAGCTGATGTTTTCAAGGGATAAACCAACCAACCAACCAAAAAAAAAAAAATGTATAATAACTTAAAAAGTATATTGATTTCCCAGTATTTATATCGTGGGCTTTGAAGGTTTAATCAAGACTCCTACAGAATTAAATCGGAGAGTTTATACAAGTAGATGTATGTTAATAGTTTCTCAAGATTCCAGAGTCTTGGAGTCTGAGGCAATTATCCTGAAATAATGTGGCCCTGAGCATTCTGATTGCTTCTCATTGGAAAGATCATCTCTCTAGGGTCACAATGAAGCTCATTTAATCAAAGCTATGACACTAACATAGTAGTCATTTCAGTCAGGTTCTTCTCTTGAGACTTAGCAGTAACCTCCAAACCAAAAGCAAACTCACTGCCGTTGAGTCTATTCGACTCATAGCAACACCTGCTTGGATTTCCAAGGTGGTATCTCTACAGAAGTAGATTGCCCAATCTTCCTTTGAGGAGTGATTGGTGGGTTTGAACTGCCAGCCTTCTCATTAGCAGTCAAGTGCCTTAGGCACTATGCCACCAGAGCTCCTGGCAGTAACTAGAGTTATTTAAATCACTTTACAAAATATCACTTGCTATTTTATGGCAAAGAAGTGTTTGAAGTAAGCTGGTCATTTCTTCTTAGACTATTTTCCATTTGCTAAAGTGTTTCTTTGTCCATGATATGTTGATTATATTAACCATTGTTATGAATATCTCTGAACCATCTGTAACATTATGAGTAGGGTCTTGAACCCCATGGGGCTGGTGAAAGGGATGGCAATAATGAGGATGGGTAACCAAATCAATAGATAATTCAAACATTATTTATACTTTATTGTCAAGAGTTGAGCAGCAATTTTTTTCCTAATAACATTTCTTTAAGATACCCGAAGTATATTCTATTCATGCAGAGTTCCATAGAATGTATCTGTGTTTATGCAAAAGAAAGCAGGTATAATTGTTGGGATAAATGTTTGGGAAACAGCAAGTAAACTAATATTGAAGTTAAATAGATTGGTTTATTGCAGGACTTAGTATAGCCTTATGGCACTGATATGTATGGTGATTCACCTGAAGAAGGAAATTAATAAGAGCATTTCCCAAGTTTATTTGATCACAGAACCTCCTTTTTAGAGAGTATAATAAGAAATTTTTGTCCAAAAAACAAACAACAATAGTATTGTTTTTGACCTCCTGAATGTACCTGCTGACAACACACTGAAGTGGTCTACAAGCAAAGAGAAGTCTGTTTAGAAGGTAAAGGGTTGTTGTGTTGCTGTTATGTGCTGTTGAGTCAGACCTAACTCATAGTGACCCCTCCTTGGGTTTCTGAGGCAATATCAATACCAAAGTAGATTGCCCAATATTCCTTCTGAGGAGTGGCTGGTGGGTTTGAACTACCAGTTTCTGGTTAGCAGTCAAATGCCTTAGGCACTATGCTACCAGAGCTCCCAAGGTAAAGGGTACAGACAGCTTTACATATAGATTGTTGAAAGATTCAAAACTTGAATCATTTATACTTAACACACCAAGAAATGCCCCATTATTCTGTAGGAAAAAAAAAGAGCTTTTCTAACTAGTAGTTTCTAAATATAAAATCTTGATAGTTTATATGTTGTTGTTGTTGTTATGTGCCGACGAGTCAAACCCGACTCATAGCGACCCCTCCTTGAGTTTCCGAGGCAGTATCACTACAGAAGTAGGATTGCCCAACCTTCCTTCCGAGGAGTGGCTGGTGGGTTTGAACCGCCAGCCGTCTGG